AACCGGGCGCATGCAACCTAAACCCTAAACCCTAAACCCTTTTCAACGAGGGAAACCCCAAACCCGAAAGCTTAAACCCTTAGCTTTGTGCTCCCCTCCCCCCCTGCCCACGCATCCTTCGTCTTTCAAACGATGGGGGCACTCATCGGTTGGGTTTTCTCGAAGCCCAAAACTGCAGGGATGCAATGGGTCCACAAAGTTTAGGTTTTTTTTGGCCACCCATCAGGCAGACCAGCCACACTGCTCGGCAACAACTTCGATCAATTAGACTGACTTTATAATACTTTACACAAGGTTGGGTTTAGGATTTCTGCAAGCACTCTCTGCGACAGCAGGCTGCATGGGTTTGGGGTGTGGGGTTTAGGCCCTAAACCCTAAACCCTAAACCCTAAACCCCAAACCCTAAACCCTAAACCCTAAACCCTAAACCCTAAACCCTAAACCCTCCGAGCTCCCTGCAGGGGGCTGCAACGGGGAGCGCGGGCCAAGCACCCGACTTTGAGCACAGGCTCGCGCAAAGTGTCGGGGCATTATGATGGGCTCTAGGAGGTGCTTAGGGCATAGGGCTTAGGGCTTAGGGCTAAGGGCGGCTTAGGGCTTAGGGCTTAGGGCTTTGGGCTAAGGGCTTGGGGCTTCGGGCTCAGGGCTCAGGGCTTAGGGTTGAGGGCTTAGGGCTTAGGGCTTCGGGCTCAGGGCTTAGGGCTTCGGGCTTTGGGCTTAGGGCTGAGGGCTCAGGGCTAAGGACTTAGGGCTAAGGGCTTAGGGCTTAGGGCTTAGGGCTAAGGGCTTAGGGCTGAGGGCTTAGGGCTTAGGGCTTAGGGCTTGGGGCTTAGGGCTGAGGGCTTAGGGTTTAGGGCTTGGGGTGTAGGGTTTAGGGTTTAGGGTTTAGGGACTCAGCGACTTTAAGTTTTATGGTTGTACCAAATATAATAAGTGGTCCTCTTATTGTACTACTATATTCTTAGATTTTCCTACCGTTGCACTATTTCATTTCATATTACAACCTCTTTGTATACTGTGAAATGAGTTAGAAGCAACAAAGAACGGCAAGCATTTTTCCAAATGGTCGAGTTTAGGATTGTTCGATGTCGGGCCTGCCGAGCGGCAAGAGTCGGGTGTCTATTTTGAACCCTGTTCCAGGCCCTGGAATGCCGGAAGCCAAGATCTCAGGCCTGCGATTGCAGCCTTGCAAAGGGCAAGCACCGCCACTTGAGAGAAAACACACACACACACATCTCCATGATCTCTCCAAATCGCATCACGCTAAACTTTTGAAAGCTCAACCCCCGGCAAGACATCCCAGGCTACTTCAGTGGTTCAGGAGCTTCGGAGCGGGCGGTGCTATAGAATGTGTCAGCCTTACAGTCGTTTCATGGGCGGCTTCTTGTTTTTGTCCTGGTGGTCGTAGATATCAGGCTTTCAATGGGATTTGTGTCTCAAGAGTCCGGGTCACATGGTTTTGACGGCTTGAGAGGCAAAACCATGACAAACCCTTAGTTTAGGGTTTAGGGTTTAGAGCTGCCGCAACTACGACAAAGTACGCTTCGAGTTACACCGGGCACGGCGCCATTTTCTCGTCGGCTTCGCAAGGGGCAATGTTCCACACAGTCTTCGGCGAGCAAGAGGAGAATGATTGTTGGACATGTGGTAGGTTTCCCAAAATTGGGGTCTGCTGGGGGTTCCTTTTTGATCCAGTCCCATATCTTTTGGGCACTCCAAACGGGACCAAAACTCAGAGAACCGCCATCTGCTCGCTCCTCCACCTCTCAAGACTTTAAAAGAACTGCTTTAAAGGCAGTCTGGCATGCCGACTTGTGGAATCCTACATCGTCCGCCATGCAGTAAGGTAATTCACCTGCGATGTGTGCGCCCGCTGGACATCACGTCACAACTCGGTTTGTGAAGGCACAGTGCTACCGTCTACGTGCACAGCGGAGCAAACAAATGGGACTCAACGGCACACAACCTCGCATCATCAGCCATGCAGAAGGCCTGCTTAGACGAAACTGCTTATGCAGCAGAGGGATGCGAGTTGCGAGATGTTGCGAGGGCTGCATGGTGCAATACAGATCTTCGTAAGAAACACAGCGCAACCACCAACTCTTCATTGCAGCCATCGTTGTCCACGAAGAATTCTTTATCTGCACCTGTGCCAATATGAGGTCCCGGAACTTATGTACGAAAAGTCTGCGCGCTCTTTGGCGCACTGCCCTGGCGACTGGCGCTGCGGCAACGGTTTGCGAGCGCGTGGCACACCCAGGGCCTCTCAAGATATGCCCTATACTCTCTACTCTAGCCTATACTATTACTCCGATTAGGGTATGTGAGCCATAAACCCTTTTGAGGGCTCATTTCGTCCCGACGCTTCCTCTCTTTTCGTGTGCTCTTCTGATATCTGACAGGGGGGGAATCACGATTTACCCAACCTTGAGTCCTAAACCCTAAACCCTAAACCCTAAACTCTGGTCCTCAGGTTTTGAGAAGGCCCATGGAGGCCAGCTTGACAAAGAGCCGGGACTTCAGGGCATCGTCCAGGGAGCTGAAGCGCTCGGACTTGACGATGGCCTCAGAACAAGACCACGCTGTGAACTACCCTATTCATCCCCTATATGTATATATATATGTATACATATATATATATATATACATACCCTTCAAGGGATTATATATGGTGCCTCATTCCCTCATCCCCTAGCAGGGCATCCTTTCAGCACATGTCCGGGGCTGCCGCCGTTGCGTTGCCGGCGGCGAAGTTCATCACAATGTCTTGGATATATTGTGCCTCACGCGCACGGTGCAGCATAGTCGAATGCTGGCACATTCCTCTACGCCACAATGCCCGCCTGTGGGTCGCTAAGGTCTGATGCGTCCACCACTTGCATGATGTCGCAGGCGTTGTCTACACCTCAGGCGCTTGCCCTAAACCCTGAGCCCTAAGACCTAAGCCCTATATGCCCTAAGCCCTCTCTCTCCAACCTCGCCTTAGAAGCAGTGATAGTGGGAGTGATAGCAAGCTAAGGCAAAAATCACCTGAGCACTTTGCAAAGGCGGAGCTTGGTGACCTCCACTGCCAAAGCACTTCGGCGAAGGAAGATGCACGACCTTTGGCCGCTCGGTTTCGCAACACCCATCTCTATAGAGCCCTGAAGCGAAACATGTGCTTGGCTCACACCCTGTCTGGAAGTTCAGATGATGGCCACGGGCTCCAGTTGCTGCCTCTATCTAGGAACTACTCGGCTGACGGAAAGCCGAAACACACCCTTTGACTGACACCCGATACCCTCAACCCTAAACCCTAAGCCCCTGAACTCCCAAAAGACCCCACAGGACGATTCGGCTCCCCAGCGCAACGCACTGTGCCAGCGTGCTAGCAGTGGCCGCCCGCCTGTGCCAGTGAGGCTCTGAGGGCTTGCAGATGCAGGCAGATACAGACTTGTTATAGAATCATACAATGATATAAGAAAATCATGATGTAGTAAAGAATATAAGAAAACACGCAGATAAGAATGTATAACTGATGCAACACCTAGCTACGAGTAGGACCTAGTTGAACTGTGCCGGAGCTTCGTCTCCCACGCTGGCTTCAGGCAAGGAAGCAATTCTTCACATATTAGTATGTTCTTCTACTACTATATTCTTGTACATAGGTTTCTTCTACTGTTATGTTGTTATATGGTTAAATCTCAGCCAGAGCTCTGCAGGACCAGTTATTTCCCCTCCATCTTCAAGGGGCACTCACCGGTTCCTGGACCTCCACACACCGACTTTCTAGGGTTTCGGGTTTAGGGCTTTGGGTGATCGGGCTTAGGGTTTAGCTTTAGAGAACCAACTCCTTCGAGGCTTCCAACTCCGAATACACATGCCGCCTCTTCCTGGACTGCGTCTGAGATCATGAGAGTCATTTTGGGGGTCAATGAAAATCGGGGACCCTAAACTAGACCCCAAATAGTAGGATTCCCTTCTCTTCTTAATATCGTAAACGGCCATTTCCTGCTTGGCCCTCATCTGCCGAGCCAAGGGTCGTCTCGCCTTTTTTTCCGTCTCAGCAGGGAGCATAGCCAATCCGCAGCAGTCTATTTCTGTGAGGTTTGTGAGACTGGGCCGGCACAGGTCACCTGTCGGCCTTATGGCGCTGGCCGCGAGTTCCTTGCCGCAGAGGCCTCAATCTTCCTTCGTGGTCACATCTGGGTATTCACTTGGATATGTCGAATGGCACTTGGCAGACGGTACAACCTCCCTTGGAAAATCTGGCCATTTCTACTTCTCCGTTCTTGAAGCCCATCAAGATTTCAAGGTGCCGGAGATGTGTCTGCTCCAGTTTAGGGTTCAGGCTGGGCAAGGTACAGCAGAAAGATGCATTGGCTCCCGACCCGAGTTAAGGGGTCACCAGGCCAGCTCGTCGTAAATGTTTGCGCGTGCAGTTGGCACACGGTTTCAAAATTCACACTATTGCACACTCACTCAAGTCACACTACGAGTTGCTGTGCTTGGGGAAGCGCCGGCTCGAGGTGCGAAGTAAGCTGCGGGAATCCCACATGGTCAAGCGCATTAGGATCTTCCAGTCGGATTCTAAGCGCCTCCCCAAACTCGTCTAAAAACACTTGTGGCTGTTTTGGAGCAACATCCGCTACTGCTTGCGGTGGCCGAACACAGGTTTGAGATTTGTGTGTATATCTATAGTTGATGCCACTCGGCCGAAGGCTGTAGCGGCGAGAGTGGGCCAGAAAAACCTTCAGTAGTGAATCTTCAGTAGTGAAATCACCGCTTCGATGGCGGACTTGCAAGTCCTAGCAGATTGTGTGTCTGCATGGCTATGGGTCGATTTACTGGCAAAGCCACGACACGGCCCCTATACCGAGCAGATCTCTTGTCCCAACTCCTCGACCCGGAGGGCCCATGTCCCCCCTAAATTTAGGGGGTTTAGGGTTTAGGGTTGAAGGTCCACCCAGCCTTGTTTTCGGTTTCTGACCTCGAGCCGAGGGATCAGACTTCGACTTTTCTCAGATGGCCACCTTGGGAGATGAGGGTTTAGCGTTTAGGGTTTAGGGTTTAGGGATTCGGGTCTGCGGTGGTGCTTATTCTTTTCGCTATGATTATTTGAAGTGCTACCATTCGTATATACCAAAATTGTACCATGTTATCATAGTCACACATGAACTTATGCGATTCTCATACTATTCTGAGTGCCGCAAACTTCTTGTAGGTCATAGTGAGTCCTTGTGCGCCACGTCACAGCCGCATTGCAGGCCGTCTAGCCAAGGTGCTGTGCTCTCCTCGTCTTTCAGAAGGGCTGAGACCTCGCTCCTGACTTCATCCTCCTCCTGGTCTGCTGCGAATGCTGTGGCATGTGCGTGAAAGCGTGGGCTGCAACTTCAGGATCTTTACCCTGGACGTATCTGGTCCTCCTCCCTGTGCTTTCGATGAATCTTGTGGATCATGGGCTTTATCGTCGCCAAGTCGTGCAACCCATGCCTCAGAGAATGACTCATCCTGATCAGCCTTTCTTGCATGGAGGGCACATGGATTGGTTCGGCCATAAATGCTACAACCACGTATGCTCTGACTAAGGATGTTCGGTTGTGGCTCTGGTTCCGTAGCTAGGATGGGATAAGGTGGGCGTGCGCGACTCAAGACGGTCAGAATGACAACGGTCTTGCATTTAATTTGAGGGCTCCCGAAATATTGAAGGGAGCCTTCTTGGGGTCCTGATTAAAGGGGGGCCCATGAAGGGAACCGCGTCGAGGGTCAGGACATGAAGTTGCCGTTGGCTGGCAGTTGCGCGCTGCTCCACTTCCAAGATTGCACTCAGGTTCACTCAATTGTCGTGCGAACCCGGAACTGATTCGCGCACCAAACAATGACACACAAGAGACAGGCTGGCCTGCAGAGGCAGAGCTGCGGTAGGACAAAAGCAAACCAAGCCATCAAACTGCCTGTCCCGCCATGTAGGACCATGTAGGAAGTACTGGCAATCGTGATAGCTGAACATGCTTTATCCTCAAAACCCTCTCGACTCAACTCTGAACGCTGGCAAATCGCCGCCTCAAGGTTCTAAGTCAGAAAACCTTCTGTTGAAACTGGGTGCGCTTGTTTGCTCCCCTCTGTGCTGGCAAGTCGTGGTCGTGCGCCTCAGGTGGGCGGGGAGGCACCTGGTTGTCTGAGGCCTTTGCAACCACAGTCTGCAGCGCTGGATGTTGTGAAAAGCACAAGGGCCTAAAGCCCTGTGGAAAAAGCGGGGGATACCCTTGGGAACATGAGGAAACTTCCTGATCGCCTGTTGACCGATGTTGCGTGCTTACTTTGGGCCTTGGGCCTGCGTCCCCATGTTCCTGTCTCCCCATGTTCCCATCTAGCCCCGTTTGGGGTGCCAACACACTCTTATCAGGCTATCGCAGGAAGCCCGTCAGAGCTGCGACGGTGGGAAGCCACAGCTTTGACAGCATGCTGGCCTGTGACATCTGGATCATCTCCGTCGTGGTGCCACAGGGGTGGCGGGCCTCCATGAGCCAGTCAAAGACCTTCTCGGCGCCCTGGCTTCCCGATTCCATCCGTGCCAAGAAGCTGTACGTCAGGGCACCGGGATCTCCGGAATGCTGCAGCAAGTAGAAGCCTGTAGTTGCACAGTAGTCCACCACCAAACATGCCCTGGTGTGCAAGTGGGCCTCACTCCTCACGTGCACCTTGTCCGGAGCCCAGCCTGGTTGTCCATTGAAATTCTTCTGCTCAACCACAAAGTTGTTGTAGCACAAGCCGTCCATGAGCACCCCCACGACTGTGACATCAGACGCGGTGCTGCTGTCGAAGGTGCAACCTTGGAAGGTTCCTGGCTTTTTGGCTCTGGCCGCGTCACAGCTGTAGTCATCGGAGCAGGTGCTCGACTGGGTGACGCAGTCGACATGACTGGGAATCTGGATGTTTGCGCCCAGGTCCTCAATAGAGGTGACCCTTATGCAGTTGTTGGCATCTTTCGAGCCAGTCACCGCAACCGTCCAGTTGTTGTCTAGGCCGTGTGCTGCATGAGCATTGGGCACGATGACTGCCATGGTGAAGAAGCTGAGTGTCCACATCTTGTTGCGATGCACGAGGGGCAGCTCGCTTCTGAACCCTTCCCAGGCAGCTTTTTGAGCCAGATATGGAAGAAACGGGCGAAGAGTCTGCTGGGCAGCTACTGCAGAGATCACGCAGCTTCATGCATCAGTGAGCCAAGCTGCTCAAGATTCTCGCTCACCTGCGCGATCCTCTTCATGTCCTCGGCTGACAAAGCTCCCATCACGGTGTGCTCTTGCTTCTCTGAATTCTTTGGTACTCACACCATTATAGTTCATTCTGTTCCCTGGTCATATGTTGTATGTATTGTATTCTCCTCCCTTCATGCCACCACACTGCACCAAGTGCTCAGATCGCACCCTCATGACATGTAGCCTCGTGATGGGCGCTGGCCCTGCAGCAAAGCTTGGTCGGAAGAGTGAGGCAATCATGCAGTGTGGGCTAGAAAGCTACGAGTAAGTCCTGAAACCTCAAAATCAAAGCCCCGCGGCTCTGCATCACAGCCCTAAATAACTAGCACCCTAAACCCTAAACCCTCAACCCTCAACCCTAAACCCTAAACCCTAGCCTGTAAGCCCTCAACCCCAGTAGATGTTTGCGCCGTGGGGCCATGGCCCTGGCAGCTCCCCGAAGTCGCGACACACCGTTCACCAGCTCCTGCCGGCTTCAGGGTTTAGGGTTTAGGGTTTAGGGTTTAGGGTTTAGGGTTCAGGGTCAGGGTTGAGGGTGGTTCTTACTTAGATTGTGGCATCAGAAAAGCCTCGGACAGAGCTTCAGGAGTGAGAAGCTGGCAGCTCCGAACTAGCCAAGAATCCTGCACCCAACCCCAGAGGGCACACGCGAAGAATTTTTTTAAGGCCGGGGGGGGGGGAGGGGTTTATCATTTTAACCCCCCTTCATGACTACCGCGGGGTTCTCCGGGGGGGGGGGGCGGGGGGGGGGGGGGGGCGCGATTTTTTTTTTTTTTTTGAGGGGGGGGGGGGGGGTCGCGATTATTATTACTACCACTCTATACGACACACTACTACTACTACGACACTACTACCACTACTACTACTACTACTACTACTACTACTACTACTACTACTACTACTACTACTACTAACTACGTACTACTACTACTACTACTACTACTACTACTACTACTACTAGTACTACTACTACTACTACTACTACTACTACTACTCTACTACTACTACTACTACTACTACTACTACTACTACTACTACTACTACTACTACTACTACTACTACTACTACTACTACTACTACTACTACTACTACTACACCTATACTACTAGGTACGTAGGACCTTTAGGGTCTATTTGGCACGCCTCTTTTGCCGCCGGGGAAATCCCTAGATTTGATTTTCAAGGATTTCATGAAATTTAAAATGCCCAAAAAATCCTTGAAATCCTTAAAAAAATCAAATCCCGGGATTTAATATTTTAAGGATTTCAAGGATTTTTTGGGCATTTTAAATTTTATGAAATCCTTGAAAAATCAAATCCCGGGATTTATTTTTTCAAGGATTTCAAGGATTTCATAAAATTTAAATACCGGAACTCCTGTAAAGCAAACCGCCCCCCTCCCCACTCAGAGTACGGGGAAGACCACGCGGATTTTAAAATTTATGAAATCCTTGAAATCCTTGAAAAATCAAATCCCGGGATTTGATTTTTCAAGGATTTCATGAAATTTAAAATGCCCAAAAAATCATTGAAATCCTTAAAAAAATCAAATCCCGGGATTTAATATTTTAAGGATTTCAAGGATTTTTTTGGCATTTTAAATTTTATGAAATCCTTGAAAAATTAAATCCCGGGATTTGATTTTTCAAGGATTTCAAGGATTTCATAAATTTTAAAATCCGCGTGGTCTTCCCGTACTCTGAGTGGGGAGGGGGGGTTTGCTTTTGCAGGAGTTCCGGTATTTAAATTTTATGAAATCCTTGAAATCCTTGAAAAAATAAATCCCGGGATTTGATTTTTCAAGGATTTCATGAAATTTAAAATGCCCAAAAAATCCTTGAAATCCTTAAAAAATCAAATCCCGGGATTTAATATTTTAAGGATTTCAAGGATTTTTTGGGCATTTTAAATTTTATGAAATCCTTGAAGAATCAAATCCCGGAATTTGGTTTTTCAAGGATTTCAAGGATTTCATAAATTTTAAAATCCGCGTGGTCTTCCCGTACTCTGAGTGGGGAGGGGGGGGTTTGCTTTTGCAGGAGTTCCGGTATTTAAATTTTATGAAATCCTTGAAATCCTTGAAAAATTAAATCCCGGGATTTGATTTTTCAAGGATTTCATGAAATTTAAAATGCCCAAAAAATCCTTGAAATCCTTAAAAAATCAAATCCCGGGATTTAATATTTTAAGGATTTCAAGGATTTTTTTGGCATTTTAAATTTCATGAAATCCTTGAAAAATTAAATCCCGGGATTTAATTTTTCAAGGATTTCAAGGATTTCATAAATTTTAAAATCCGCGTGGTCTTCCCGTACTCTGAAAGGGGAGGGGGGGGGTTGCTTTTGCAGGAGTTCCGGTATTTAAATTTTATGAAGTCCTTGAAATCCTTGAAAAATCAAATCCCGGGATTTAATTTTTCAAGGATTAAAATGCCCAAAAAATCCTTGAAATCCTTAAAAAATTCAAATCCCGGGATTTAATATTTTAAGGATTTCAAGGCTTTTTTGGGCATTTTAAATATTATGAAATCCTTGAAAAATTAAATCCCGGGATTTGATTTTTCAAGGATTTCAAGGATTTCATAAATTTTAAAATCCGCGTGGTCTTCCCGTACTCTGAGTGGGGAGGGGGGCGTTTGCTTTTGCAGGAGTTCCGGTATTTAAAGTTTATGAAATCCTTGAAATCCTTGAAAAACTAAATCCCGGGATTTAATTTTTCAAGGATTTCATGAAATTTAAAATGCCCAAAAAATCATTGAAATCCTTAAAGAACTAAATCCCGGGGTTCGGTTTAGGGTTTAGGGTTTAGGGTTTACGGTTTAGGGTTTAGGGTTTAGGGTTTAGGGTTTAGGGTTTAGGGTAATATCCTTGAAACCCTTAACAAAAATCAAATACCGGATTTGATGGTGTAAGGAGTTCATAAAAAGTTAAGATGCCGAAAAAGAATTAAAACCCTTTAAAATCAAACCCCGGGATTTGTCTTTTCCAGGATTTCAGACATACCCGCTCATTGCCCATCCCACATCACCCCGCATCATCTCCCATCGTTTCTCTCATCCCCCATCATGCCCCATCATCCCCCAATCATCCCCCATCATCTCCCATCATCATTCCCCGTCATCTCTCATAATCCCTTTCACCCCCCCATCATCCACCATCATCCCCCATCAGGCCCCCATCATCGTCCCCGATCAGCCCCTATCATGCCCCATCATGTCTCTCATCCCGCGTCATCCCCCATCATTCCCCATCATCCCCCATCATCTCCCATCATCCCGCATCATCCCCCATCATCATTCCCCATCATCTCCCATAATCCCTTTCACCCCCCATCTTGAGGGGTTAGTGACTGCCCTAGAGGTTAGTCGTATGTCCCCCCGCTTCGTGTTGTTGTGATTTGGTAGGGGCCCAGAGGTTTGTATGAGCTGTTTTCTTCGTTCGTGTTGTAAGGGTTTTGTGAGGGCCCCGGAGGTTTGTCGCATGTCCGATTTCTTCGTGCTTGTAGGGTTTGGGGATTGTCTAGATAATTGTCAAAAATCATTCCTTCCGCGCTCGTACTATGAGGGGCTAGTGGCTGCCCTAGAGGTTTGTTGTATATTCCCCCGCTTCGTGTTCCTGAGATTTGGTAGGGGCCAGAGGCTTGTCATATGTCCCCTCCCTTCGTCCCTTCGTGTTGTGAGGGTTGCATTCGGCCTTGGAGGTTTGTCGTATGTCCCCTTTCTTGGCGTCTAGATGATTGTCATCATAAGTCATTTGCTTCCGTGGTCGTATTCTGAGGGCTATTGACCGCCCTAGAGGTTTGTCGTATGCCCCCCTGCTTCGTGTTCCTGTGAGTTGGGAGGGGCCTAGAGGTTTATCTTTTGTCCCCTCCCTTCGTCCCTTCGTATTGTAAGGGTTTCGTGAGCGCTCTGGAGGTTTTTCATATGTCCCCTTTGTTCGTGCTTGTAGGGTTGAGGGAGTGTCTACATGATTATCATATAATATCATTTGCTTCCGCAGTCGCTATGAGGGTATTGATTGCCCTAAAGATTTCTCGTGTGCCCCCCCGCTTCGTATTCCTGTGATTTGGTAGGGGTCTAGAGGTTTGTCGTAATTCCTCTCCCTTCGTTCCTTCGTGGGATGTTTGCGTGTGTCCCCTTTCTTCGTGCTTGCAGGGTTTGGGGAGCCTAGACGACTGATATATATATATATATATATAATTCGATTCCGCGCTCGTATTGTGAGGGGCTAGTGGTCGCCCTAGAGGTTTGTCGTATGTCCCCCCGATTCCTGTTCCTGAGATTTGGTAGGGGCCTAGAGCTTTGTCGTATGTCCCCTCCTTTCGCCCCTTCGTGTTGTAGGGGTTTTGTTGGGCCTTGAAGGCTTGTCGTGTGTCCCCTTTCTTCGTGCTTGGAGAGTTTGAGGAGCGTCGAGATGACTACCATACATCATTTGCTTCCGTGCTCGTACTATGTGCGGTTAGTGACTGCCCTAGAGGTTTGTCGTATGTCCCCTTCCTTCGTCCCTTCGCGTTGTATGGGTGGTAAGGGTTTTGTGAGGGCCCTGGAGGCTAGTCGCATATCCACTTTCTTCGAGCTTGTAGGGTTTGGGGGGGAGCGTCTAGAGTCTAGATGATCGTCATATATGATTTGCTTCCGTGCTCAAACTATGAGGGGCTAGTGACTGTCATAGAGGTTTGTCATTTGTCCCCCCCGTTTCCTTGGTCCTGTGATTTGGTAGGGGCTTAGAGGTTTGTCATACGTTCCCTCGCTTCGTCCTTTCGTGTTGCAAGGGTTTTGTGAGAGCCCGGCAAATTTGCCGTATGTCCCTTTTCTTCTTGCTTGTAGGGTTTGGGGAGCATCTAGACGACTGACATATGTAATTTGATTCCGGGCTCGTATTGTGCGGGGCTAGTGACTGCCCTAGAGGTTTGTCGTACGCCCTCCGCTTGTTCCTGTGATGTAGTAGGGGCCTACAGGTTTGTCGTGTGTCCCCTTTCTTGGCATCTAGATGATTGTCATAAGACATTTGCTTCTGTGGTCGTATTGTGAGGGCTATTGACTGCCCTAGAGGTTTGTCGTATGCCCCCCTGCTTCGTGTTCCTGTGAGTTGGGAGGGGCCTAGAGGTTTATCTTTTGTCCCCTCCCTTCGTCCCTTCGTGTTGTAAGGGTTTCGTGAGCGCTCTGGAGGTTTTTCATATGTCCCCTTTGTTCGTGCTTGCAGGGGTTGGGGGAGTGTCTACATGATTATCATATATCATTTGCTTCCGCAGTCGCTATGAGGGTATTGATTGCCCTAAAGATTTCTCGTGTGCCCCCCCGCTTCGTATTCCTATGATTTGGTAGGGGTCTAGCGGTTTGTCGTAATTCCTCTCCCTTCGTTCCTTCGTGGGATGTTTGCGTGTGTCCCCTTTCTTCGTGCTTGTAGGGTTTGGGGAGCCTAGACGACTGATATATATATATATATATATATAATTCGATTCCGCGCTCGTATTGTGAGGGGCTAGTGATCGCCCTAGAGGTTTGTCGTATGTCCCCCCGATTCCTGTTCCTGAGCTTTGGTAGGGGCCTAGAGCTTTGTCGTATGTCCCCTCCTTTCGCCCCTTCGTGTTGTAGGGGTTTTGTTGGGCCTTGAAGGCTTGTCGTGTGTCCCCTTTCTTCGTGCTTGGAGAGTTTGAGGAGCGTCGAGATGACTACCATACATCATTTGCTTCCGTGCTCGTACTATGTGCGGTTAGTGACTGCCCTAGAGGTTTGTCGTATGTCCCCTTCCTTCGTCCCTTCGCGTTGTATGGGTGGTAAGGGTTTTGTGAGGGCCCTGGAGGCTAGTCGTATATCCACTTTCTTCGAGCTTGTAGGGTTTGGGGGGAGCGTCTAGAGTCTAGATGATCGTCATATATGATTTGCTTCCGTGCTCAAACTATGAGGGGCTAGTGGCTGTCCTAGAGGTTTGTCATTTGTCCCCCCCGTTTCCTTGGTCCTGTGATTTGGTAGGGGCTTAGAGGTTTGTCATACGTTCCCTCGCTTCGTCCTTTCGTGTTGCAAGGGTTTTGTGAGAGCCCTGCAAATTTGCCGTGTGTCCCCTTTCTTCTCACTTGTAGGGTTTGGGGAGCGTCTAGACGACTGACATATAATTTGATTCCGTGCTCGTATTGTGAGGGGCTAGTGATTGCCCTAGAGGTTTGTCGTATGTCCCCCCGATTCCTGTTCCTGAGATTTGGTAGGGGCTTAGAGCTTTGTCGTATGTCCCCTCCTTTCGCCCCTTCGTGTTGTAGGGGTTTTGTTGGGCCTTGAAGGTTTGTCGTGTGTCCCCTTTCTTCGTGCTTGGAGAGTTTGAGGAGCGTCGAGATGATTACCATACATCATTTGCTTCCGTGCTCGTACTATGTGGGGTTACTGACTGCCCTAGAGGTTTGTCGTATGTCCCCTTCCTTCGTCCCTTCGCGTTGTATGGGTGGTAAGGGTTTTGTGAGGGCCCTGGAGGCTAGTCGTATATCCACTTTCTTCGAGCTTGTAGGGTTTGGGGGAGCGTCTAGAGTCTAGATGATCGTCATATATGATTTGCTTCCGTGCTCAAACTATGAGGGGCTAGTGGCTGTCCTAGAGGTTTGTCATTTGTCCCCCCCGTTTCCTTGGTCCTGTGATTTGGTAGGGGCTTAGAGGTTTGTCATACGTTCCCTCGCTTCGTCCTTTCGTGTTGCAAGGGTTTTTGTGAGAGCCCTGCAAATTTGCCGTGTGTCCCCTTTCTTCTCACTTGTAGGGTTTGGGGAGCGTCTAGACGACTGACATATAACTTGAGTCCGTGCTCGTATTGTGAGGGGCTAGTGACTGCCCTAGGGGTTTGTCGTATGCCCCCCCCCCGCTTCCTTGTTCCTGTGATGTAGTAGGGGCCTACAGGTTTGTCGTATGTCCCCTGCCTTCGTCCTTTCGTGTTGTAAGGCTGATAAAATTTTTCTGAGGGCCCTTGGAGATTTGTCGTATGTCCCCACGCTTCGTGTTCCTGAGATTTGGTAGGGGCCAGAGACTTGTCGAATGTCCCCTCCTTTCGTCCCTTCGTGTTGAAATTGCTTTGTTGGGGGAAGGTTTGTCGTATGTCACCTTTCTTTCTTCTTAGAGGGTTTGGGGATCTTCTAGAAAACTGTCATATATCATTTGCTTCCGTGCTCGTATTATGAGGGGCTGGTGTTTGTCATAGAGGTTTGTCGTATGTCCCGCCGCTTTCTGTTCCTGCGATGTGGTAGGGGCCTAAAGAGGTTTGTCGTGTGCCCCCTCCCTTCGTCCCTTTGAGTTGCAAGGGTTTTGTTGGACCTGGAAGATTTATCGTATGTCTCCTTTCTTCGTGCTTGTAGGGCGTGGGGAGCGTCTAGATGATTATCATATATGATTTGCTTCCGTGCTCGTATTATGAGGGGCTAGTGACTGCCCTAGAGGTTTGTTTTACGTCTCCCTGCTTCGTGTTCATGTCATTTGCTAGGGTCCTGGAGATTTGTCGTATGTCATTTTACCATATACGAAATTAGATACAATCCCTTCGTCCCTTCGTGTTGTAAGGGTTTCGTGAGGGTCCTAGAGGTTTGTCGTATGTGCCCTTCCTTCGTCCCTTCTTGTTGTAAGGGTTTTGTGAGGGCCCTGCAAATTTGCCGTATGTCCCTTTCTTCGTGCTTGTAGGATTTGGGCAGCGTCTAGATGATTGTCATTATCATTTGCTTCCGTGCTCGTACTATGAGGCGCTAGTAACTGCCCTAGACCTTCAGGGCCCTCACAAAACCCTTACAACACGAAGGGACGAAGGGAGACGACATACGACAAACCTCTATCATCTAGATGCTCCCCAAACCCTACAAGCAAGAAGAAAGGGGACATACGACAAACCTCCAGGGCCCTCACAGAACCCTTACAATAGGAAGGAATGAAGGGAGGCGACACACTACAAACCTTTAGGCCCCTACCAAATCACAGGATCACGAAGCGGGGGCGTCATCTGACAAACCTCCAGGCCAATCACTAGCCCCTCATAATACGAGCACGGAAGCACATGATATGTGATTATCATCTACACACTCCCCAGACCCTACAAGCACGAACAAAGGGGACATACGACAAACCTCCAGGACCCTCCCAAAACCCTTACAACACGAAGGGACGAAGGGAGGGGACACACGACAAACCTTTAGCCCCCTACCAAATCACAGGAACACGAAGCGGGGGGACATACGACAAACCTCTAGGGCAGGCACTAGCCCTCATAATACGAGCACGGAAACACATCATATATGATAATCATTTGATGCTCCCCCAAAACCTATAAGAACGAGAAAGGGGAAGCACACAAACCTCCAAAGCCCTTACAAAACCCTTACAACACGAAGGGACGAAGGGAGGGGACATACGACAAACCTCTGGACCCTACCAAGTCACAGGAAACACGAAGCGAGGGTGCTTGCCTAAGTCTGGCTGTTGGCCGGCTGGATCTACATTTACTGCTACTACTACTACTACTACTACTACTACTACTACTACTACTACTACTACTACTACTACTACTACTACTACTCCTACTCCTACTTCTACTACTACTACTACTACTACTACTACTACTACTACTACTACTACTACTACTACTACTACTACTACTACTACTACTACTCCTACTCCTACTCCTACTCCTACTCCT